CTGCTCTGCTGGACACTGTTGGAATTCTTAAGACTGCTCTAACTGCTGATGAGAAAAGGTATTTGGCAGTTTATATTTACTAAAATAATTGCATTTCTTGTTCTGTGTACTGTGGGAGAGCAGATATAGTGAATGCAGGGTCATGGGTTTGGTAACACTAAGCTGAAAGAAGGACTTTACCATGGGACACACTACAGGTACACAATGATAGAGAGACTGTCAAAATAAAAAAACCCATTTTCCTGAGATCTCTTGATGTCCGGGAGTTCTATTCACCAAGGAAATTGTGGACCAGCTATAACTGAGGTTACATAAAAGGAGTTTTGTCAATGTTTATCTGCTAGGAAAGGATAGATAGAGTGCATATCTGTATGTGCACATGTATGTATGCACATTTTTAGCACTCTGTATGCCTTGTATTGTTGTCCTGTATCTGTATGTAATTCTTGTTTGCACATAAATCTTGATTAGTAAAAACACATTACTATACTAATAGGTTAGTTTCTTTGAGTTTACTTCAAGAATTAGACAGTCGAAAAAATAAATTATAGCAAAAAAGGCCAGGATTTGCAACACATTTCAACTAAAACAGACCTGATTTTTGTGGTGTGTTTTTACTGGTTGTGCTAAGAAAGATGCTGCATAATCTGTTTAGCAATTATTGCTCTGATTGGTCGAGGCAGAGAGGTGAGCCTATGACTTCATAATATCCGTCTTAGACAGTCAGAGGAAGCTTTTTATTCATTCAAAGACTACAATGCTGCCCGACTCAGTTTTGTTCTGAGTGTTGAACGGGATGTTCGCATCCCACAGCCAGAACACAAGGCTATCTGTATACTGTATGTAGCGGAGGTTGCATATAGTATATACAATGTGCCCAGCAGGCACACCTGTCAATGTAGGAAATCGCTAAATAACTAAGTGACAGTAAAGCTGGAGATTAGAGTAAAGGAGAAGAAAGTCCATAAAGCAGTTTGTAAAGCCAGAGTTCACGCCACTGTCACATCTCACAGTTGGGATTGTGAGTGTGTGCTCTCTTTAGGAGACAGTATAGTTAAGGAGATAGAATTTTATATTACTGATGATGATGATGATCACTCAATGTAGGAGAAAAAGTCTGCCGGGCCACTTTTAAAGTACCGTATTTTTCGCTCCATAAGACGCACTTTTTTCCCCCCAAAAAAGGGGGGAAAATGTCAGTGCGTCTTATGGAGCGAATATGGAGCGGCCGGTCCGGTATTTCCACTGCCGCCGTGTCAGAATACCGGGCTGGCCGCTCAGCTCTACAGCGGGACCTTATAGAGATGACTGCTGACCTTTGGGGAGGGAGGGGGAGCGGGTACCTGAATTTGACAGGTACCCGCTCCCACTTCCGTGGAGTTGTTCTTTCATCTTACCCGTTCCTCTATCCAGCGGCGCGGTCTTCCCGGCTTCTGTAGTGTGGGCACTGGGCATGACAGCCGGGTGCCAAGTGCGCATGCGCAAGAAGCGGTGCTTTTTGTGAATGGTAAGGCGGCACATGGGACACATGACAGATCCCAGAAGCCGCCGGACCAATCACAAAGCGCAAGTGCTTCTCGCTCATGCGCACTGGGCACCCGGCTGTCATGCCGAGCGCCATTACAGAAGCCGGGAAGACAGCGCGCGGCTGGATAGAGGAACAGGTAAGATGAAAGAACAACTCCGCGGAAGTGGGAGCGGGTATCTGTCAAATTCAGGTACCCGCTCCCCCCCCTCCCCAAAGGTCAGCAGTCATCCCCTGTACTATCCACAGTCTCTGGTCATCCCTGTGCTGTCCGCAGTCTCTGGTCATCCCTGTACTGTGTCCGCAGTCTCTGGTCATCTCCTGTACTATGTTTGCAGTCTCTGGTCATTTCCTGTACTGTGTTTGCAGTCTCTGGTCATCTCCTGTACTGTGTCCGCAGTCTCTGGTCATCTCCTGTACTGTGTCCGCAGTCTCTGGTCATCTCCTGTACTATGTCTGCAGTCTCTGGTCATCCCTGTACTGTGTCCGCAGTCTCTGGTCATCTCCTGTACTATGTTTGCAGTCTCTGGTCATTTCCTCCCTGTACTGTGTCCGCAGTCTCTGGTCATCTCCTGTACTGTGTTTGCAGTCTCTGGTCATCTCCTCTACTTATGTCCGCAGTCTCTGGTCATCTCCTGTACTGTGTCCGCAGTCTCTGGTCATCTCCTGTACTATGTTTGCAGTCTCTGGCCATCTCCTGTACTGTGTCCGCAGTCTCTGGTCCTCTCCTGTACTGTGTCCGCAGTCTCTGGTCATCTCCTGTACTGTGTCCGCAGTCTCTGGTCATCTCCTGTACTGTGTCCGCAGTCTCTGGTCCTCTCCTGTACTGTGTCCGCACAGTCTCTGGTCATCTCCTGTACTGTGTCCGCAGTCTCTGGTCATCTCCTGTACTGTGTCCGCAGTCTCTGGTCATCTCCTGTACTATGTCCGCAGTCTCTGGTCATCTCCTGTACTGTGTCCGCAGTCTCTGGTCATCTCCTGTACTGTGTCCGCAGTCTCTGGTCATCTCCTGTACTGTGTCCGCAGTCTCTGGTCATCTCCTGTACTGTGTCCGCAGTCTCTGGTCATCTCCTGTACTGTGTCCGCAGTCTCTGGTCATCTCCTGTACTATGTCCGCAGTCTCTGGTCATCTCCTGTTCTGTGTCCGCAGTCTCTGGTCATCTCCTGTACTATGTCCGCAGTCTCTGGTCATCTCCTGTACTGTGTCCGCAGTCTCTGGTCATCTCCTGTACTATGTCTGCAGTCCATTAGTTCAGAATTTTTTTTTCCTGTTTTCTGCCTCTAAAACCTCTTAGGTGCGTCGTCTTATGGAGCGAAAAATATGGTACATCACAACCCAAGAAACAGAATTTGAGGAACTAAAGCTCAATGCCAGGAGTTCAGTCACTTAGTAAATTTCGCTGGATTACTAAGGGTTAAAGTAGAAATCCAGGCTAAACCTAACTATTCTTAAAGTGCTCCCTCCCCCACCCTTAGAGTTATGCTGGATAACCTGTGTAAGAAAGATGTATATACAGTATCTCACAGAAGTGAGTACACCCCTCACATTTTTGTAAATATTTTATTGTATCTTTTCATGTGACAAAACTGAAGAAATTACAGTTTGCTACAATGTGACGTAATGAGTGTACAGCTTGTATAACAGTGTAAATTTGCTGTCCTCTCAAAATAACTCAATAAACAGCCATTAATGTCTGAACCACTGGCAACAAAAGTGAGTACCCCCCTAAGTGAAAATGTCCAAATTGGGCCCAAACTGTGAATATTTTGTGTGGTCACCATTATTTTCCAACACTGTCTTAAACCTCTTGGGCATGGAGTTCACCAGAGCTTCACAGGTTGCCAGTTGAGTCCTCTTCCATTCCTCCATGACGACATCACGGAGCTGGTGGATGTTAGAAACCTTGCGCTCCTCTACCTTCTGTTTGAGGATGCCCCACAGTTGCTCAATAGGGTTTAGGTCTGGAGACATGCTTGGCCAGTCCATCACCTTTACCCTCAGCTTCTTTAGCAAGGCAGTGGTTGTCTTGGAGGTGTGTTTGGGGTCGTTATCATGTTTGAATACTGTCCTGCAGCCCAGTCTCTGAAGGCAGGGGATCATGCTTTGCTTCAGTATGTCACAGTACATGTTGGCATTCATGGTTCAATCAATTAACTGTATCTCCCCAGTGCCGGCAGCACTCAAGCAATCCCAGACTATGACACCCACCACCATGCTTGACTGTAGGCACACTTGTCTTTGTACTCCTCACCTGGTTACCGCCACACACGCTTGACACCATCTGAAGCAAATTAGTTTATCTTGGTGTCATCAGACCACAGGACATGGTTTCAGTAATCCTTCTGGAACAACAGCCATGCAGACCAATTTGATTAAGTGTGTGGCATATGGTCTGAGCACTGACAGGCTGACCCCTCCACCACTTCAACCTCTACAGCAATGCTGGCAGCACTCATACGTCTACTTCCCAAAGACAACCTCTGGATATGATGCTGAGCACGTGCACTCAACTGCTTTGGTTGACCATGGCAAGGCCTGTTCTGAGTGGAACCTGTCCTGTTAAACCTCTGTATGGTCTTTATGTAGAGCAACAATTCTTTTTTTTTCATATCTTCAGAGAGTTCTTTGCCATGAGGTGCCATGTTGAACTTCCAATGACCAGTATGAGAGCGTGAGAGCAATAACACCAAATTTAACACACCTGCTCCCCATTCACACCTGAGACCTTGTAACACTAACAACTCACATGACACCAGGGTGAGAAAATGGCTAATTGGGCCCAATGTGGACATTTTCACTTAGGGGGGTACTCACTTTTGTTGCCAGCGGTTTAGACATTAATGGCCATGTGTTGAGTTATTTGGGGGGACAGCAAACCTGCACTGTTATATAAGCTGTACACTCACTACTTTACATTGTAGCAAAGTGTCATTTCTTCAGTGTTGTCACATGAAAAGATATAATAAAATATTTACAAAAATGTGAGGGGTGTACTCATTTCTGTGAGATACTGTACTTGCCTATTTTCAGCCTGCTCCAGTCCGGTCATGTGATTCCTTGAGTCAGCCAGTGGCATCTGCAGCAAAGAAGAGAGCGCTCAACAATGGCTGGTATAGCCTGGAGCGGTGACGTCACCTAAATGTTACCATGGCAAATCCGATGTCTGATCATGGGCTGAAAATAGGTAAGTATATAAATCTTTTTTACACAGGGTGGTCAGCAAAGGGTGTTAGGAAGGAGTAAGGAGTATTTTAAAACCTAGCTAGGTTAAGCCTGAAATTCTAGTTTAAGTACAAGGTGCATGCCACCTCGTAGCCTTATCTCTTTCATTTACAGTTTACATTTTTACTATCGCTATACTTCTTAAGCTCAAACATTGTTGAACCATAAAAAAAAATTAGAAGAACAAGGAGAGTGCCTACCTTTTCTACAATTCACGCAATACAATGATCAAATCACAAAAGCTGTACTCACTTGTAGCCATTATGTCTCTAGGGCACGTAGGAATTCCATGATCAACAGCCCACTTGAAAGCGCCATCTCCAACTAAAAAACTAATACAAAAAAAAAAGACATTACTTTATGTTCTCTGTCCATTGTTGGACTGTTAGCCAATCAGTGATCACATGAATCAGGACCTCACACAGAGGTCCCGGACACAGCGGGCACCAGATTGTGGTGCCACGCGCTCCCAGGGAGCGCACACAAGCAGTGAATGCAGAGGTCGTTTATAAACGGCCACCCGCTCCTGCACTGCTCCCATCCGACCGTTTATGTACATGGGCTACACGGGAAGTGGTTAACAAGCATTCTTGATGTTTTTGAAAAGCTTTAAAAACACACCCAAAACACATGGTAAATGCTATATGGTGCATTGAGCATTTCTTAGTTCTTCATAAATCTACACATTTGTGAACAAGCTCTCAGACATCTGCAGAGTAATTTTCTGATTGTGGTTGAGCAAATGGTAAAGCTTTTTTCACTAGCCTACAGTTTTAAGAGCAAAGTTCACCTTTAAAAAATAAAATAAATGTACATAATTTTGTAGGAATTTTTTTTTTGTTGCCAGAAGCCTGCAAAGTATCAATCAGTGGATCACGGGTAGAATACCAACCTCCTGGAGACTCTTCCTCCAGCTCTCTGTCCATGCAGAGGTACAGACTTTCATTTGCAGACTACAGTGCAGTAATTACTTCATTTATATACCACTGACAACTGCAAATCTGTCAGCCATGGTGGAAGATGAGACTTTTAGTTAATTCATTCACAGATCTCTGTGAAAGAATGATGCAGCTGTGCGAGCAAAGCCCCACACAGCCGCGCTGATTTCAAAAGTGAGCACAGTTGCGGATGAGAAGACCCTTGCATGCTGTCAAAAGGGGAGTGCAGTTTGCAGATGAAGGGGCCTGTTTGAACTTAAATACTGATGAAACATGGTGCACAAGATGAAGTGAAAGCCTTTCACCCATATTATCTGGGAAAGCCAAACTATAAAACCTCCAAATATAAGTATTTGGAAAAAGGATTATTTAGACTTTTTCAGCTTGTTTATGACAGTGGCAACAGATTTTCTGTTTCAAACATTTTAGGAATAAAAAATGACAAAGAGACCCATGCAGGGGCTAAAAGATCTTGCTAGAGCGAGCAGGAATAGATTTTTAAGCTTTGGAAGCAGTCCGGATGTTGGTGTCCACTATGTCTCATACTGTATTATGACAATGACGTATGACACTAACAGTTGTACAAAGTGAATGCACGCAGTACATATTTTTACTTAATTGTTGATGAAAAGAGCAGTAAAAAGGTCAGAAACACCTTTGCTATAGAAAGCTCTAGGCTGTCTCCTGTGCAAACCACGGACCAAACGTGTAACCCATTAGTTCGTTGAAAACTAAGCTGACCATGCACAAACTGAAAGCTGGCTAGTTCAGCAAGGACCAGCCGAATTTCAATCAGTGTTTGGCCGCGCTGCCCCTTGATACTTTGATAGACTTCCTGATGAAGGGACATACTGGAAAATATTCTTCAATCAGCGGTTGGAACCAACTGGGTGGGGGGATCTTCCATCCACCTTGTGTGTGTGCATGGAGGAAGCATGGACAGCTTTAGATTCCAGACAAACCGATTTTCCTCTTCAGCAGAGATAAAGTAAGCAAATGCCTGGACATTTAGTAACATGCTTAAAGTGACCAACACAGGAAGTATGATAGGCGTTTCAGCTCTTCTACTACTCTTTACTTATATCTACGCTAGCATATCTATCAATATCTTTAAAGTGATATTAAAGAGTTTCTAAAATAACAAACATGTTATACTTACCTGCCTCATGCAGTGGCTTTGCACACAGCAGCCCCGATCCTCTTCTCGGGTTCACGCCAGCGCTCCTGGCCCCTCCCTCCTGCTGAGTGTCCCCAGAGCAAGCAGTTTTCTATGGGGGCACCCAAGCAGGCTTGCTCCCAAGTCACTGCTCTGTGTGTCCATTCACACACACACCGCAGCTCGGCTCTGCCCCCCCCTCCTCATAGGGCTCACTGGGTGTGTTTGACACTGGAAGAAGAGTCCCCAGACAAACAAGGCTCTTGTGCACATTGATGGATAAGTATTAGAGGGGGCTGGGGGGACTGCTGCACACAGAAGTTTTTTTACCATGGAAGTTAAATAACTTTGAGCCTTTAAAACCACTTTAACAAGTTGAAATACTACTATGGATTTTTTTTTCTTCCTAAAAAAACACCTCTCTATATCTAACAGAAAAGACAAAACACTCATTCAGTTTTAAACATGGAATATTAAGTGTAGGCATTGCTTGGCAATAATTTTCCACGACTGGAAAAGGGTCTTGTGAATGAGGTTCTGTAGAGATCTATTAAAATTTAATTTTGAAATTAGACCCAGTACACAGAAATTCGGCTACGGGCAACTGGCACTCCCACATGATCGTGCAGAAATAGACTATCTCTGTCCAAAACCTCTGCTGCCAGACATGACCTGATGGAGTGTAAAAATAAAACTCAAATCATATTTAGTGATGATTTATTACTACTGGTATTTAACACGGTTTTTCCGTAAATTTGCTCAGACAGAATTTCCTAAAGCAAACTAAAGAGGATGCCTAACATCCAACAGCTGTGTTTACTGGCATTCAAAGTCTTGAACATTTATTGCACATACCAAAAAGTCTTCTTAAAAAAAAAAAAAAAGATATATTATCTGTAAAACATGAAGAGAACCGGGACATTAGGCCCCATTGATTGCTGACAACAGAGGTCTGTCATGCTGCTGGCACAGTAACCCTGAGCTGGCATCTTATCCTTTTTGGCATATATGGGTAGTGATGAAAAATAAAGCCTGAGGTACTGGAGCTTTTAGGAACGTGCTGCTTTCTTTAAACAAAATGTGCTGACACACATTTTTTTCTGCTTTACTTACTAAAGGGATACATAGGTAAGTCTCTCAGCAACTGCAAGAAACAACTAAAATCAACCAGTGAATGGACATTGCAATTATAAAAGTATTGGATAGCTGCACCGTGTATGACTGTGCAGGGAGTGTATAAGTACTGTACATGGGGTATATATGGCTCCCTGTGAATGCAGCTCAGGTCAGTGAATGGATGTGCAGGGTCATCAGTAGAATTACAGGGTATTATTGGATGTACGAGGGGTGTCAGTAGATATATGAGGGGTATCAGTGAATGTACATCAGATATCACTGTATGTACAAGGGGTATCAGTGGCTGGTATCAATGAATGCACAGGGGTATCAGTGGATGTACATAGGGATGGGGTATCAGTAGTCATATAGGGGTATCAATGATTTCAGTATTTGTACAGGTGGTTTCAGTGGATGTAAAGGGGGTATGAATGACTGACAGAGCTCAGAGGTCTACAGCAAGTGGTGCGGAGTTCAGAGATTAGTAGTCGGAGAGGCAGAGTTCAGAGATTAGTAGTAGAAGAGGCAGAGATCAGCAGTAAGTGAGGCTGAGTTTAGAGATCAATAGTAGGAGAGGCGGAGTTCAGAGATCAGAAGTGAGGCGGAGTCAGAGATCAGCAGTAAGTGAGGCGGAGTTCAGAGATCAGTAGTAAGTGAGGCTGAGTTTAGAGATCAATAGTAGGAGAGGCGGAGTTCAGAGATCAGAAGTGAGGCGGAGTTCAGAGATCAGCAGTAAGTGAGGCGGAGTTCAGAGATCAGCAGTAAGTGAGGCGGAGTTCATAGATCAGTAGTAAGAAAAGCAGAGTTCAGAGATCAGTAGTAAGAAAAGCAGAGTTCAGAGATCAGTAGTAAGAAAAGCAGAGTTCAGAGATCAGTAGTAAGAAAGCAGAGTTCAGAGGTTAGTATTGAGAGGTGGAGTTCAGAGGTTAGTATTGAGAGGTGGAGTTCAGGGGTCAGTAGTAAGAGAGGCAGGGGAAAGGGGAAGGGCTTCCCGGGGATAAACTCTTCTACCCCCAACCCCTCTTTATATCAAAAATCCACTTAAACCCTCCTTTCCAAACTCACTTTCAATCACCGATCTTTTCTACCCCTTCCCAAATCCCCCTCCCTCCCTAGTGCAAATGCCAGCATAAATACTCCACCACCCCAACCCCTCCTTCTAGAAATCCTCTAACACCTCCCCCCCCCCCCCAGCGCTAGCGATGCTACTGGTGCCCCTCCCCCCCCCTCACATCACTCCGTCTCCTGCCCCTGAAAGGAGGAGTCCAGTGGACCGGGCCAGAGTGGAGGCAGGAAGAGAAGCGTTTGGCATTTGGGGAGGGCACAACAGATATAGAGATCCGGTCATGATCCCAGCTCCCCTGCAATCAGCGGCACAGCAGTGCGGACTCACACCAAGCAGCCAGTAGTGTCTGGGTTTGGGTGGCCCCCGGCGAATGCAGCTCAGGTCAGTCTGTGTGCAGACAGGCATCTGGCTATCTCAATTTAGCTCCAGGGTTGACGATTCCCCTCTCGAGCTGGTGCCCGCAGCACATGTCCCCCCCCCCCCCCCCAATTTCAACTCTGGCTACTACAATGCTAAAGTAGAAAGCCTAATGGATTCACCTTAATCTGATATGTATAAATATACATTTTAAGTAGATTCTTCAAGCTTTTCATAGGGCTTCAGGGATAAATCGTGGAACAAGCTCCGACTGTGTTACTTTTCCCTCTGAGAGCAACAGGAGGAATGTGCAATATTCAAGTGGCTGCCAGGAGAAAACAGAGATGGTGTTTCTAGAAACGTTTCATGGACAATTTTGAGGGTCACAAGTTTTGCTTTAAAATAACTAGCATTGCAAGCGTCTATGTGGAAGTTATAAATTTTGGGTTATTGTAGAATTCCTGCTGTTTGATTTGAGAAAAAATGGGAATTTTGAAGTACCTGTAAACTCCATATCTTGGAATGAACTACAGGACACGAGAGTTGATAGAGCATGGGTTATATGGCACTTCCTTTAAGGTAAATGGATATTGGTAAAAGCTTTGTTGGAATTCCCTTCTTGGGCCCAGGAAGGAAAGAATGGACTTGTTCCCAGAGGGCAGAAGCCTTAGGAAAAAAAAGGCAAAATAACCATTCAGC